GGTTGTTTGAAGAAGGAGGAATCCTTTGGTCCCTTCCTGCTAGCAGAAAACCATCTGTGTTAGGGAATAGCTGAAGGATATTGCAAATAGAAGTGCAGTTGCAAATAGAAATGAATGGGAGACATTATAAATGTCCTTTCCTGGCTGAGTGTTGTGGATTTCTAGGTGTTTCTACCAAAGCTTCTTCCTATCACATCCATCCCTATTCTTTTGTTTTTTTTTTTTTTTAAGACAGGGTTTCTCTGTATAGCCTTCAATGTCCTACAACTCACTCTGTAGACCAGGCTGGCCTCAGATTTACAGAGATCCACTTACCTCTGCCTTCCAAATGCATCCCAATTCTTTATACTATTCAAATCCTGGCCCCACTCAAGAGTCAGAGCGTGTCCATCATGGTTACCTGTTGGCTAAAGCATCCCCTAGTAGAAGTGCTCTCGTTCATCACTCTCCCCAGCCCAACAAAGTTCTGGGGCTGCTCAGGACACAACCAAACCCTCTGCCCACCATCTTCTTATGAATTCTGAGCCAGAACTGCTGCTGTTAGGATGAGGTTTCCAAACTTCTAATTTTCTGCCTCATTATGCATGGCCATCTCTGGCACTTCACGTCTGAGGAAGGCCAGCCCATGATAAAATACTCTAGATTGTCTTCGCAAGCTTTCTGATAGAAGTATGGCAAGAAAAAAAAAGTAAGAAAACATGATGGACCTCCCTGACCCAGACAGCACAGTCTTTTAACCCCTCATATTTTGTTTCTTTCCTTCCTTTCTTCCTTTTTTTTCTTTATTTATCTATTTATTTTGGTTTTTCTGTGTGACAGTCCTGGTTGTCTTGGAACTCAATTTGTAGACCAGGCTGGCCTGGAACTCACAGGGATCCGACTGTCACTATCTCCCTAATGCTGGGATTAAAGGCATTTGCCACCACAGTCTTGCAAACCCTCCTTTTTTCAAGTGAGGAATCTAAGGCGTGAAGCTAGCTAGGCAAGGCACAGGAAGTGTTGAGTGCATGGATATGTGTCAAATCTCCTCTTGGGAAGGAAAAAAAAGGAGAAAGAGAGGGAGCAAATTTGTTCATGATAACAATGGTCATTAACCACCTACTGTATGTCAGACTCATATTCTATTTTATATACATGATCTGATTTATTCATCACAAGAGCCCTATGATAATCACTATCATGAGCACATGAATGTGTATCTCTACTCAGATTTCCTCTGCCCCTGCCTCAGAGGTTCCAATTTCAATGGGGTCTCAAGTGCTGAGATATAGGTATGTACCACCATGCCTGCCTTAATATAACCTTTTATTTGTTTGTTTGTTTAGTTGGATGTTTTTATAGTACAAGGCCTTCCAATGAGCTACATCCCCAACCCTGAATCTAGGCCTTCTTTGCTTTGGTTCAGTTTTTGAGACAGGGTTTCTCTGTGTAGCCCTGGCTGTCCTGGAACTCGGTCTGTAGACCAGGCTGGTCTTGAACTGAGATCCACCTGCCTCTGACTTCCCAGTGTTGGGACTAAAGGTGTGTGCTACCACTCCTGGTTGGGCCTTTTCATCTTTAGTATAGTCCCTGGTGACTTTGCTGCACAGTCAGGATTAGGGGAACACACCTACAAGGTATATGTCCCAATCACAGCGAGGAAGGGATCCTGAGTGGCCTCTCTCCCAAGAGCACCTTTCACACCCACCCCACTCTGGTTTCTTGTAGCTACTTTTCTGCCAGCTCCTCCACACTGGCATGCCAGAGTTCTCAAATCAAGGACCCAGTGCTTTAGCAGTGAGTCAGCAGTACTCAGAGTCCCAAGGAGCCTGCCTTTCTAGCTGCCTGGGAACCCAGCCTGGGCTGGGAAACAGGATGCCATGGGTTCTGCTCTAGATTAGTTCCCTTTTGAGTCACTAGTAGCAATAGGCTAGTCAGTCTTCAAGCCTCAGTTTGCTTATGTTCAATAGATAGGTCAAGAAAGCAGACTTGCCCATTGGAAATTTGCTTAGGATTGTATCTCTGGCCCTTAGCCACAGCAGGTAGAGGGACCTGGACAAGAGGAAAAAAGAACATGGGACATTCTTGCATAACTCTGATTTCCCATTCCTATGCCATTTGATTCTCACAATGATGGAAGAAAAAAAAAACCGTCTATCCCAATATCTTCATGTCCTTGGTTCTCTGTCTTAGCCTTTGTCCCACTGTGACTTCACATCATTACCTCTCTGGTCTTCATGCTGCTCTCTGCATGTTTCAAGCTTGTTTCTACATCCTACTCTTTGCACTATTAATGAGAGTTCCAATGTTCTATCACAAATAATCACAAATAATGAGAAGTCTGTTTTCTTCTTCTCACCCAGGCCTCAGTTTACCTGCTGCCTTTTCAGGTGAAGCTTTGTTAGTCCATCATCAAACCTAAGGTGTGACTGCAGGCACCAGAACATCTTTTAGCATGTCATTTGAACTCTCGTCTTAGCAGCACTCACTTACTCCCTAGCATCTGGAAAGTGTTTCATGAATGCCTATGGAATAAGTCAGCTAATGAGGCTACCCCAGGATGAATTATGATTGAAATGCTTTGTTTTTGAGACCAATCCCAGTGTGGTTCATATTGGACTAAAGTTCAATGTCTAGAAGAGGCTGACCTTGAACTCTTGATCCTCCTCCCTCCACCTTACAGGTGCTGGAATCACAGGTCTATGTGACTTGCTTTTGTTGCTGTTGGTGGTGGTAGTGGCGGTAGTGGTGGTGCTGGTTTTTCTTTTTTGCCTCTTTTGAGGTGTTGACAATTGAACCCAGGGCTTTGCACATGCTAGGCAAACCACCACTGAGCTGCATTCCCATCCTGTAATTTTGTTTTATTTTGCTCAGTCTTTTGGTCCCAGGTGATCTGCAGTTCTGGGAAGGGAAGTGACTATCCCAAGTCCATTTCAGGTCTTTCATCTTATTTTCTCCAGGCCCTTCCTTGTAAAACCTGACACACAGACCTGGATAGGGTGAGGCTCCTGGGTGTGATGAAAGCTTGGAGTTGCCCCAAGATGTCGAGCTGACGTGGGGGTGAGGCGGAAGGACCTAGCAGAGGAAGGAAGAAGCAGGCTAGGACAGGAGAACAGGGTGAGAATGGTGGAGTGGGGAACAGCAGTGATCTGGTCATGTGTCAGGAAGTATCTCCCTCCACCCTTGCCTGGGGAGAACCCTGACCCCTGGATGGCTTTGGTTTTAAGAAGGTGATCAAACACCTGCTGCAGGAGATGAAGGTGTGGCTGGGGTGGTGGCCACCTGCTGAGGTCCTAGGCCCGATACTGAGCACCCAGAAAAATACTAAGTTGGCCTTTGGCCAAATAGGTGAGAAGTGAGCTTCTGTCTGAAACCAATTTGTCTACACATGGATCCTGACACCTGTCCAGACCGGATGTCTAGGGAAGGGAGAGAAAAGAGTATCTAAGGAGAAGGAATAATCAAGGTTGAATGTCCAGTGATAACAATAGGCCACATTTATTGAGAGCTTGTACCCATCTCTTTACTTTCTACTTTATATGTGTTTTCTTATTCAATCCTCAAAAAGCTCTCTGCAACGTAGGCATTGTTAGTATTACTATTGTTATTCCCTTTTGGGGATGTAAAACCGAGGCTCAGTAAAATAAGTTCTCTTAGGGGCTGAAGATATGGCTCAGCAGTTAAGAGCACTGGCTGCAACTTCCAGAGAACCCAGGTTTGATTCCCTACATCCACACAGGGGCTCACAGCCATCTGTAACTCCGGTCCCAAGGAATCAAATGCCCTCTTCTGACTTCTGCGACTTCTGTGGGCAGGCATGTTGTACACAAACATACATGCAGGCAAACACCATACATATAAAATAAAACAAATTAACATCCTTCAAAAAAATAAATCATTTACCTTGTTCGAGGTCACACAGTAAGCAGCAATCTGTAGACATGGCAGTGCACTGGGGAAACCTAGGCCTGGGAGTGTATGGTGGAAAATTAAGAGGGGACCAGCCAGATTGACCCCTGCAAAGATGGGGGGTGGGGTGGGGAGAAAGAGTGGGATAGACAGTGTATAAATAGCAGACCTGTTTTTATCCCTACACATGGCTGAATCAGGCAAGTGCTCCGTCTGGCACAACTTGAGGGTTCTGAATGCCAAGCCAGCCTTGTGTCAAACTCCCTACCCAGCACGTCCCTGGGAGCTGAAATACTTACTGAGGGAGTCATTATTTGAGTCAGGACATTGACTCCAGACGACCCCCTTCCCCTTAAAAAATATCCCAGCTGGAAGAGAAACACCAATCTGGCACGAGTTGTACATGCCAGCTGGTTGGGTCCTTTGAAAGGAGAGTTTACGTTTGAGAGAGTGGTCTTAATACCCAAGGAAAAGTATGAGACTTGTCCCATAATCTGTGTGTCTCTCTGATTGCAAAAGCCTGGGAATTAACGTTGCATAGCTCAGAAATCCTAAAGTAGACTATGTCCCCTGGGAGAAAGCAGTGGAAACCACTCCTAACTTCCTTTGCTGTTGCTGGATCTGCATCAAATGACTGCAACTTCAGGTCTGGTCTCTTTGCCCCCAGGAGACTAGCTGGCATCCGTGTACCTAATTTTTAAACGACAAACGAAATATTATTTACTGCTTGCTGTGTTGGTAGGCTTCTGAGTGCAGATCCCTAGTGTGGAACGGGGGACTTGTCAAAGATGCAGGGACACAGGCCCGGTACAGCTCTCAGCTTCGCTTTTACTAGGTTGCAGCGCGACGGGCGTAGGAGGAAAGGTAGGATCCGGTCTTCGCCACCTGCTGGTCGCCCTATACCCACACTCCGGCCACCGCTGCTCTGTCTGGCCTGCTCCCAAAAATGTGAGCGCGTCTCGGTCCTCCCGCCGCGGCCGCTTAGTCCGGAGCAGCGCTGTCGGCGCCTACAGCTGGGCGAGCTTCCCGGCGCGAGAGGGGGGAGGGGAGGGGGCGGTGCCGGGCGGGGCGGGGCTCCCACTCCTTTTCCCGGAGCCTTATTCCAGGCTGCGCGCTGCGAGCGAGCGCTCAGTCGGCCCTGGGAGCTGCACAGCACGCGGCTCGTCGACCTGAAGGACGTGCAGGGGCTGGGCGGACGCGCGGACGGACTCTGAATAGACAGACGTTTCGCGGCCGTAGGGCTCCTCGGCAGGATCGCACCCAGAAGCGGGCAGCAGACCGTGCCTGGTGGAATCTCGCTGCCCTCCGCCGCCTGGGCTCCTGTGCAGGCGTCTACCGGCCGCCGCATCCAAAGTGATCGCTGCCTCGCCGTCTTCACCAGGTTCGGGACCATGAAGCTGCTGCCGTCGGTGATGCTAAAGCTCTTTCTGGCCGCAGGTAAGAGGACAGCTGATGTCTCCGAGGTTGGGGGTGGGGTGGGGGCGCTGTGCGGGGGACACGTGGGAAGGTCGATGTGGTGCCTTTCACCCCCCTAAGCGGGCCACTTGGTGGGGCCGGTGCGCCTTAGAGGGCGGGCGTGGACATCGATGGCGTGGTGGCGCAGGGGGTCTAGGCGATGGGTCTGATGAGGCCTCCTCTCTTCTCTTGCCCAGTGTTGTCCGCTTTGGTGACCGGTGAGAGTCTGGAGCGGCTTCGCAGAGGTCTGGAGGCAGCAACCAGCAACCCTGACTCTCCCACTGGATCCACAAACCAGTTGCTACCCACCGGAGACGGTCGTGCTCAGGAAGTCGAGGCAGACCTTTTCAGAGGTGGGTATGGAGGCCGCCTAACCTTAGATGCCATTCACAGCTAAGAATACAGAGACCTGAAATTTATGCTGTTGCTCCAACCCCGTCCCCTGATGGGGATGTTTATGGAAGACTTCAAGGAAAAGCTTATGGCCTGATTGGAGTTGGGTTCTGCAATATAGTGCTATCGTTCTTATCTTTGGTCTCACCGGGTGTGGGTTCTTTTTTCTGTATACTTTGGAGCAAACCGAAAGAGGCAGTTTGTCCTCTGAAGTAAAGTAGATGATAGGAGGAAGGCATGGCTGAGATGTGTTCTCTAGAGCTTCTTTTTTGGGGGGGCTGTTTCAAAACAGGGTTTCTCTGTGTGGCCTTGGCTGTCCAGGAATTCGATCGTTAGATCAGGCTGGCCTCGAAGTCACAGACATCTGCCTGTCTCTGTCTCCCGAGTACTGGTCTTAAAGACATGCATCGTAACTCCCTGGTGCTTTCTCTAGAGTATCTATGAAAAAAAAGGGGGGGGGGTTGCAAGTCTTATCTAGTGTATGTTTATATATGTGATGATTATATATGAAAAGAGATAATAGATGGGAACATTGGAAGTGTTAGTCTCCTTTTGCCACCTGTCTCCAGGTTAGGGAAAGAGGGCAGTGAGGAGCTCTTGGCTTTGGTAGATGAGGCTAGCACCCCTGCATCTGGCAATGAATGGTGAGTGCTGGGACTCTAGGAGGCTGTTTTGAAATGCCTTGGGTTTGAAACTTGTAGGCTTCCTGCCCACTGGAATCTCTAAGGAGACTCCAAGAGCAAAGAGCTATGTGTGATCCCTTAACCTGTATCTGTGGCTGAACACAGTGACTGGGCAGAGTCCAGAATCTGATGGCCTGCCTCTAGCCACTTGCAGTGGTTCTCAGAGGTGGAGCCAGCGCTAAGCCTGAGGCCAGCCAGAATGACTATATTTGGTCCAAAGGAGACACACACCTGTTCAGCTACACCTGCTGTTCAGCCTGCCTGTTCCCTCCTCACCCCAGGCTTCCTGAGATGCTTGCTCTGCTTTGCATAAGTCAAGCATCTGCTCCAGAACTGAGTCTGGGGTCTCACTCTTCATCCTCTCAACAGTGGACCTTTGGGGTCACCCATGTCCTCAACAGTCTGGATTCTTCTGGCTCAGGCTGGGTAGGGCTGGGCTGGGCAGTGACTCACCCCCCACCCACATGGCAGCTCCTCATACCTCTGCTAACCTGACTCACTGTTCCCTCTTCTCAGCAGGAGCCTAGCTTGTCAGTCTTCTTATCCTCTCTCTGATTGCTTTGGGTCCTCCTGCTTTGCTTTCCTTGGAGACTCAATAACTGGCTTCCTCTGGCTACCTGCATCAGTTTCTGAACTCTGTAGAAACCTGGAACAGGACCAGAGACCACAATTCTAATCTTAATCCTGCACTGCCCTGGGACAAGTTCCTGCATTTGGGGATCCCATGGTTTTCATCTTGAAAGTGCCCTGGCATTGTTGAAGTCTCATTTGTCTTGAGGATTCTATGTCCCTAGTCTAACTTCTCATGTTCACCTTTCTGCCAGACACAGGCTGAAGCTATAGACAGTGAGCACTTTTTAACTATTAGGTTCAGGGATGGGAGAGGCTAGTATGAGACTCCTGGGCTAATTAATGACCAGTCCCAGGTGGGTGCAAAGTTGTTCTCCCCCTAGTATCTGCAGCATGGAAAGAAGAAGGGGGTTGTCATAGTCCAGTTTCTTCTGGATAGTTCCTTGTACATATTGTAGTCCCCCTCCCTATCCCAGGTATAAATAGGATATTTGAAAAAGTAGATCCATTGTTAAAGGGCATGCGGTAGGGCAGATACTTTGCCCAAACTCAAAAGAGTAAGATCTTTTAAATCAGGGATGGCCCATTTGCTGTTTCAGAGCTAGGTTCTGCAACAAACTTTCTCTGATAACAATGGGAACTCCAGAGAAGGGTTCTAAAGCTATAGACATTCTTATTTTAGAAGCTTCCTACCCCAAAACAGCCAAGTCCCTTCTCCCAAAGCAATTTTTATCTGTGATACTATCTTCCTGCAAGTGGGTCACTGAGTACGATATCAGGAAATGAGGCTGACTGAAGGCTAAAATAGAATCAAGTAGATGTGCGGGAGTAACAGATGGGGGTAGAAAATGGGCAGCACTTGAGTGTGAGGCTAGTAGCTTTGCTCAGCGAGCTACAGTTTCTCTGGCTTTCTTAGAATGAGGCTCTTCTTCCTTGGAACCCAACCTAACTTCTGTTTCCTCCTAGAGCTTCCTCTTTCTGGTAGTTCTTAAAGAGCTTTCCCAGGCCTCTGACTCCAGGTGGGATCAAAGAGTGTGTGCATCCTCATTGGTTATAGGGGTACCCACCTGTAATTCCATGTTTTAGACACTAGGGTGGGAGGAATGGGGAGTTTGAGGTCAGCCTGGCTTAGATCTCGAGATACTTTTTCAAATGGACAGAGTCAAAAGACTTAACTAGGTAATTTTTTTCCTGCAGTTGCTTTCTCTTCCAAGCCACAAGCCCTAGCCACGCCAAGCAAAGAAAAGAATGGGAAAAAAAAGAAGAAAGGCAAGGGATTGGGAAAGAAGAGAGACCCATGTCTTAGAAAATATAAGGACTTCTGCATCCACGGGGAATGTAAATACCTGAAGGATCTCCGGGCTCCATCATGCAAGTAAGTGGCCCATTCCAGAAAGAATCTCATTATCACACTGTCAGCCACACACTCTCTTTGTCACTGTTCCTTGAATTCATAATTTCACCCAGTTTCTTTTCAGCCTCTGGGAGGAAGTTCAAAGGAAGGGACATATTTTTAGTCAGCGGAAGTCCCCGCCACCACCACCAAAGAGGCTGCAATTTCCTGTAGCATGGGTTTGTGACGCTCCTTAATCCTCCAGGACATTTCCTCCTACATACCCATAAAAGAACATGTATCTAGGAGAGCTGACACTTGTGAAAAGGTCCTTCATCCTGGCCTTGGACCCTTCTCTGGAAAGGAAAGCCAATAGGAACCATGGCAGAGTGACTTCCTAGAAGGAGTACAGATGATGTAAGATGTCTTAAGTAATACGCTGTGCAAGTGTGTGTACTCAAGTATGTCCATGTGAATAAGAAGATGTGGATTGATTCTAAGGCATGGCAGGACTACACAGAGAGGAACCATCATGTAGAATAAGTTAAAGCCCCTCCACTTTACTTTCTCACCCAGGCAAAGAACGGAAGGACATGGGAGACATAGAGGACATTGACCTTGTGTGGAATGGGGGTTGGAGAATAGCTTTCTTGGTACAGGATTAGCAGTAGAACCTAACTCAGCCTGCAACATCACTATTCCCTGTCAGGAGTATGGGTGGAGGGGTTGTGGGTTCATTATCCTCTCATAGGCCAAACCCAGCAAGTGACTACCTTGCAACCCCTCAGGGATGGTGGTGGTGTCATGCTTTCTGGCAAGTATAATGTTGCCACTATGCTTGAGGCCAAAACCCCACATCAGGCTACAAATGTCCCCTCTCCTCCCTGTCAAGAGAGAGACAGACTCTTGGAGCCCTCTAACCCTTTCTAGGAGACCCTGGACAGTCCAGGGTGCTGTTGTGGGTACACTGCCTCCCATCCTATGATGTCTCTGCCACCTGTGACTGGCATGGGTCCTTTGGCTTTTAAAGGCATCCTTGTCCTGTCTAACCGTACACAGCAGATCTGTTTTGTATTTAGCAGTTGGCAGATGAACCCATTGCTTCTACCTTCACAGTCAGTGTGTCCCTTCCTGTAACACCCCAGGCAGGAGCTTGGTGTGTTGAAGAGGCAGGATCGCTGTCTGCTCCTTCCCAGTGTCCTGGGACAGGACAGGAAATGTTTGTCTTAAATGTGTAAAATGGCATCATTAACTCAGGGAGGAGAAAGTGATTCTTCGGGTAGTCAAGATGGACTAAAGCCAGGAGTCTGTCTAGCCACACTGGCTTGGGATGTTTGTGACTCAGGGTGTTTTGGCAAATGGATGTGCAGGGCTTCCATTGATCATTGGAGAAGCAGGGCTGCCCTGACCTCCTAAGCTCAGAGAACCCAAGAAGTGTGCGTAAGACCTCCTTCCCAGTAGCTCTAGGAATAGTGATAATAATCACATTGGTATTATTTCTTCAAGATCTTCATTGTTTGCATTTACATCAAGTTCACCCCAGCAGACATGATAAGTACTTACTTGGTGCTGCACCCTGTCTGAAGGGATAAAAAGAGATGGTCTTTTGGGATTTCCAAAAGCCCTCTGCTGGGAGGGAAGGCAGAACTTTCTCTACTCGAAAAATGAGGAAACCACAGAGAGCGAGTAGGAAGTTATTCGTATGAGATCAACAGCTAAATAAATTCGTGGGAAGAAGATAGGGTCTCACTCCTATCCCCGAATGTTTTCCATGCTCCCGGGCCACACTGGGTGTTGGCTTTCCTCCTCTATCCCTGTCCTTAAAGAGTTGAGCAAGATTTTATGGAGGGCAGCTGTTGTCCTAGAACACTCGTTAGCATTTTACTAGTCTAAGAGCATAGCAAGTGACCAGAAGACTTTCTGTCAGCTTCCTAGGCACACTTCATAGGGTGGGTTCTCTGACACAGATCCTGGTTTGGGGCAGTGTGACATCTGTGCACTGTCTGTGTCCCTTTTTATGGCTTCTCCTCTACTTTAGACCCAGAAATTGCCAGTGAGGGTGTGTCCTGCCTGCTGTGGTGAACTTGAGGCTAGCTGGCTTCCTAAACAAGCCTTTGACAGCCACCATGAACAGGAAAATCCTTCTGTGTCACCAGGCAAAAGTTTCCCTCAAAGAGCAGTTTTCTTGGGCTTCTGACTGGCTGCTGACCCAGAAATTGGCTGCAGAGTTTCCTGTAGCTAGAGGAAACCTGAATGTAGTTGAGTTCAGAAGAACTGAGAGACAGGCCTGGAGCTGCACTGTCACACTGTTCACATGCAGAGTCCCCCTTCTCTTGACTCCATCTGGCTTGAGCATCTCATTCTTAGAGATACAGGCTTTACCCTCTGGTTTGGTTGTATGATAATAATCCCCAGAAGTGAGGCCTGGGCTTTTGGTGATGCTCCAGCGAGGTAACCTTTTATTACCTCTGATTTGACATGAGGAAATCAAAGTTTAGAAAAGTAATGTGACTTGCCCAAGATCACCTGGCTAGAAATAGCATAACCAGTCTGGAACTCATCTATCCTCATCTCCCCTAACAAATGATGCTTCCTCCAACATCTGGGATAGATATGGGATTAGACTGTGTAGACAATATCTCTGGACTCTGGAATGAACTCCTGTTGTCATGCAAGTTCTGTAGTGGGTCACAGACATGGAGAGGAGAAATGTGTCCTAGTTTGACAGATATGTGTGTTGGCTTAGAGCAGGACACATGATCTTGCCCCTGCATCCAGGGATGTGTGGAATGTACTCAGCCCCCTCCTTCCCTGGGGAAGCCAGGCTTTGATGGGAGGGAGATGTGGGTAATATTAGCACATTTACATTATTATCCTTTTGACTCAGGACAGAGGTGGTAGAGGGATTATATAACTGAATTGCAGGACTCTGAGGCCAAGTTTTATTTCTATCATCTGAGTAACTACCTGTGGGGTTTGCATGATGGTTTGGAAGTGCAGAACAGACTGAGCTTCAACTTCCTTCCCTGAGAATAGTGTCACTCCTGAACTCATCCAGACTGCTGGGTTAAACCCAGGCTCTACCACTCACCAAGTTTGTGGTATGTTATTTAGCAGAGGTTAAACCTTGATCTCTTCAGCTTCAAAATGGGAATGATAACTTCTACTTCATGGGTGGTTTGACCTTAAATGTTCAATGAAATCAAAGCCCCCAATTTCAGGCCTCAGTACCAAAGATCAAATCCCCCTTGTGAAGCAGTTATCTCAGAATGCTTGGTCATGGTAGGCCTTTATTATTTGCTATTTATTAATAAAACTGTGAATAATAAACAATAACAACAATATGGTCAGAGAACAAATCAGACATCTCCAGACTTACCAGATGTGCTTTCTTAGGTTACCTGTGTCTCTCAGAGTGGACAGAATCATAGTGGCTTCTAATCTTGGCCTTGCTGCTTCCTAGTTATGAGACTTGACCAATTAATTAATCTCTTTGACCCCTTATCTGTGTGCACACATGATTTTCCAGGGACACTCCCAGGAGCTTCCTTTAGGTCTTGGCAGGGTAGGGATATATTTTTCCAGACTCTGACTGACTAGTTAGACATACTGAAGTGACTAGGTAAGAAAGATATTCTGTTCTTTGAGGGTCTGACCTATCTTTACACTGTTCCGTACCCAGGAGTAGATGCAGGCAGTCCTAAGGTAGGGACAAGGATGCAGTGCTACAAAGTCCCACCCCTCTGCCACTGCCAGAGTGGAATCTCTGCTCCTTGCAGCCTCCCTGGGCCCTGCCATTGAGAAGGAGGAATACTTCCAGGCTCTAAGGCTCCAGCTACATAAACTCCTCCAGAGAAGATGCAGTGCAGAGTAGAGGACACTGGATTCCCAGTGCCTCCTTCAGCAGCTGTGGTGTGTGAGTGGACAAAGTTAGAGAGTCCATGCCCATACTGCTGCCCTGTTGCATGCATGACCTTGGGAAGCCATGCCACCTTTCTGTAGCATGGGGCTCCCACCTACATCAAAGGATCTCAGGAGTGCTCAGAGGAAGGGATCTGAATGTGTTTCTTCAGCAATCTTCCTAAGAGCTTCAAGGAAATGCTTTGTGTTCAGAAGAGGCGGCTGTCATGTGATTTGTTTCTTGAGTGAAAAGAGCCAAGGGATTGTTTCTGACATTCTTTCATGCTCTGACAGGGTGGCTGGGCAGGAAGATGTTATCTCCGTTCGTTTGTTTTGTTCTGTGATGAAGGAGGCCTGAAAGCCCAGAATTCAGAGGTTAAAGGCTGTAGTTTAGCTCCCAGGTTGGGAGCTAGGAGTTAAATGAAGGAAATGAGAAAAATGATTCCTGGCACAGGGACAGGGCCTATTAATAGGCTGAGCAGTGGTAGGGAGGAACTGAATGCTGGATGCATTGATGGGCAAGGCTGGGTTTATTTCTGGGTCAGAATGTAGAAGGGCCTCTCTAGAGGGAGTGATACTGAATCCCCCCTCAATTCTGTCCAGCAGCCCTGATGCTCAAACCCTCTTAAGTGGCTTAAGCAAAACACCTTAGTACAGATGTAATAGATTAGATCTATGTGGAATACATCTAAACTGAGACCTTCAATTCCTCCCTTTCTTTTTCCCTGCCTGAAGCAGGACTCTCGGGGTGGGAGAAGGGGTGGAGAGAGAGGAGGAGAGGATGCATACACCATTAACTCTATCTTCTTCTTGTTATTTTAGCTGCCACCCAGGTTACCATGGAGAGAGGTGTCATGGGCTGACCCTACCGGTGGAGAATCGCTTATATACATATGACCACACTACAATCTTGGCTGTGGTGGCTGTGGTGTTGTCATCTGTCTGTCTGCTTGTCATAGTGGGACTTCTCATGTTTAGGTGAGTGTTTGGAGCCCTTGAAGGCTGGTTCTGCAAATTACTCACTTCTTTCTCCTCCTAGAACTTAAGACTAGAGTCTCTTCTCATAACCCTGGGCTTGTTTCTATATACTTTTGAGAAACTATTTTGTCTGGCACAGATGAGTCCATGGTACCAATTGCCAGGCCATACAGATTTTGTTCCTCATGGGATTCATTTCCTATCTATGTGGCCTAGTGACTCACCCATGGAGACCTTTTAAACATTTCTTTCTCCTGGCATTAGTGTGTAGTTTGGTAGTAAAGGCATGGATAATATTATTGATGATAATCTTCCAGGGATTGTAGATTATTTGAGCACCAAATAATGTTAAAGTAAATAAAGTCACAGGAACGGGTGTGTACCTGTTATGAGGCCAGTCTTGGCTACATAGAAAATTCTAGACCAGTCTGGGTTATGACGTGCTGTCTCTAAAAATGTGTGTGTGTGTGTGTGTGTGTGTGTGTGTGTGTGTGTGTGTGTGTGTGTTAATGCTCTGCTGATAGAGACAGGAATCCCTCAGGAAAGCTGGATGCTGGATTTTGGCCAAAGACCAATGAGTTGCCATACCCTCTGGACTTTTTCAAGAAATAGAGAGACAGCATGGTAGTTCCTTGAGAGGTCTTGCTGTGGGACCTGCACTTTATCAATTTCTCATAACCCTTTATCTTCCTCAGGTACCACAGGCGAGGAGGTTATGATGTGGAAAATGAAGAGAAAGTAAAGTTGGGCATGACTAACTCTCACTGAGAAGGACCTGTGCTCCAGGTAATGGTGCATTCTTCTCCCTAGGCAGTACAGAGAAGCCAAGGCATGGCAGGTCTTTGGGAGGTTTCAGTGAGTGCTGAATTCCCTAGATAAGGGTTGCAGGGTGCAGGTTACTACTGTGGAATCAGAGTTCCAATGCAGAGTTATCTTCAGAGACTTGGTGAGGCATCTCCAGTTGGATCACAAGGTTGTAGTACTCTTAGCTCTCCTTCCGAGTGCTCTTTGCATTTCATGGGACTGGACCCAACTTTAAATGCCTCTTCCTTCTTGTGCTTCAGGAGCCTTCAGGGGATGGCTATCTCTGAGACACTGGTTCATACAAGTTCTACAGAGGGGAAAGAGTTCACAAGCAGCCACGAAGACTTCTTCATTTCCAGTTGCTACCCTGACTGGGCCTCCTGTAATTACTCTGCAAAAGTATCAGAGCCTCTAAGTGCCAAACAGACTGTGCCCACTGGGACCCAAATCAGAACACAGTGGAAGCAGGAGAGCCCTCCAGGCCTTTCTGATTCACCTCCACCAAACCCACTGGTTTGTTTAAACACTTAGCTTCTGGATTAAAGTGTCAGCTAGATTCCAAATGCACCAGGATTGACTGAAAAAAAGGAGAGGAAGGAGGAATGATTTATGGACTGGAAGAAAGCAACAGAGTTGAGAAGCCATGTGTTCAAGTAGCTACAAGGGGTCTGCCGTTTGGACCCTCCAGCACGATGGATGTGATGAGCTAACTGTGAAATACCACAAGCCCAAGAACTCTGAATTTTGGGACTTCTACCCAGACGGGAAAAATAACAACTATTTTTTGTTGTTGTTGTTGTTGTTATTTGTTTGTAAAATGCCTCTTAAATTATATATTTATTTTATTCTATGTATGTTAATTTATTTAGTTTTTAACAATCTAACAATAATATTTCAAGTGCCTAGACTGTTACTTTGGCAATGTCCTGGCCCACCTCTTTGCAGCTCTACCATCTAGCTCATTGCCACACTCCCATGTGCTCTGTAACCCATCTGTAGTAATTTATTGTCTGTCTACATTTCAGAAGATATCCCAGGAGCAGAGTATCCAGGGGGAGTTGTGTATGGCCAGAGTGCAGGGAATGATTTGGGCAGAGCCACTCTGTGAGTTGGACTGCAATCTTGCCTAGGTGATTTTTGTCTACTGTTTGTGTTTTGAAAGCCCAAGGTGCTGATGTCAATGTGTAGTAGATATTGGTGTTTATCTGTGTCCTCTCCCTGCCAAATCTCAGATGTTGGGCATCCATGCCTGCAGTTTCCTGGCCCCTTTTCCTCCATCACCCTTTCCCACTCTCCCTTGTGTCAAGACATTTCCCTTACTCCTGCCATTTTTCTGGTGCTACTCCATGCAGAGGTTGGTAGAGCCGAGGACAGTTTGGAGAAGGACTTAGTAAAGGAAAAGACTGAGGAGGAGCAGGGAATGTTGGAGTTGACTACTCTCAGTAATTGAGAGTAGTCCTGTTAGGGAAGGTTTTGGGTAGGAAAACTATACAGTATCACCAAAACTGTAATGCTATTATGGTCCCCATGGAAGTTTCTGGTGCCATTTATGAACTGTTACAACCTATATTTCCAAAACCTGGTTCATATTTATACTTTGTGATCCAAATAAAGATAACCCTTACTCCATGTTTGTTTGTTTGTTGTTTTGAACAGGATATCACTATTGAGCTCTGTCTGTCTCTCTATGCAGACCAGGCTGGCCTTGGATCCAGACCTGTCAGTCTTTGTCTCCTGAGTGCTAGGGGTAGAGGCTTGCACTACCACTCCTGGCTTGTTTGCTTGATTTTCATGTGTGTGAAGGTAAGAGGCTAACTTCGGGTGTCTTTCATGATTGCTTTCCTTTCTCAGACAAAGCCTTACTACATAGCTCTAGCAGTCTTAGAACTCAGAAATCCACCTGTCTCTGCCTCTTTAGTGATGAGATTAAAGGCATGTAAGCTTTCAATGCCTAGCTTGATCTTAATACTTTTTGAGACTAGAGTCTCTCATTGGACCCGGAGCTCCAATTCAGTTCAGCTAGGCTTATCAGTTCGTTTTGGCTAGGCTAGTGGGCCAATGGACTTCAGGAATTCCCCTGTCTGCCTTTACCACCGGGGCCTGGGATTATAGACACATGGCAGTGTGTTGGCTTATATATGGCACTGGGGATGCAAACTAAGTGTTTGCATATTAAACATTTTACTAACTGAGCCATTTCCCAAGCCATAGTTTGCTTGTTTGAATTGGAAATTTGTTTAGCATAGGAATTTCCTAAACTGTCTGTCTCAGCCTCAGGGATACTTATAAAACAATTCTCATTATCCACAACTCCAGGATGGGGGCACTATTGCTTATCTTTTTCCTAAAGGAGGAAACTGAGTCGCAGGTTATATAAATTGCCTAAGATTACACTGTGAGCTGGGGCTAGTTCTTTTGGTTTTTGTTTTGTTTTGTTTTGGTTTGGTTTTTGGTTTTTACGAGACAGGGTTTCTCTGTATTATTTTGGAGGCTGTCGGTCCAGCCCAGCCTCGAACTCACAGAGTGCTGGGATTAAAGGCGTGCGCCACCACTGCCCGGCAGTTCTTTTGTTTTTATGCTTACTACTTCTCACACAAGAAAGACTAGAACTTTGGTATAGAAGTTTGGCTGGTTGGACTTACGTGTGTTCAATTGTTAGGTCCTAGACTCAGGAATTAGTTGTGTACTGTACATGTAAGCAGCCGTCGATCCTGGAAAGAACAAGATGTTTTTGCCTTTGCTCTCATGAGGCACAGCCAATTCACCAGCAACTTTTGTCTGCTGTACTTTTTGAATGCATCACCAAGTCCAACACACCATTCCCTCAGACCTGGACTCTGGGATGGCCTCCTGCCTTCCTAGTTCCACCTTGTTTCTTGGTCTGGGAGTGGTGGCTCAATGGTAGAACACATGCTTTACATACATACAAGAAGTCCAAGGTTTGAGACCTCACATATGACACACACAAAGAAAACAGATCTTGTCTACTCTGCAGGTCTTCCCTGGTCACCCTATTATTCCTCAACATACCATCCTCTCCTCAGAGGAACTTATATTCCTCCATAGTTCCCAAGTACTACTAACACATTCCTATTTGTTTATTGTCAGTCTCCTCCCACTAGATTGTTAGCCCCATGATCTGTTTATTGTCTTAATAAAACTGAGATGTAGGCGTTCAGTATTTGTTACCTTTATACATTATTGTAAGAGAACAAAACTCTAAGACCTTCAAGTGGGCAAGTCAATCTAGTGTTGCCCTGAAAGTTGTTGGGTTTAGAGGGGTGCCACTGTCAGGGAGGGTGGGCTGGACAACAGGGTAAAAGTGAAATTAAGGGCCCATCATGATGCGTGGTGTCCTGGGTGAGTTGGCGGCAAGGAAAGCCATCACACAAGTTTCCTTGGTTGTCTCTCCTTATCCCCATTTGTTCTTGAAGAGAAGTGACTTGCTCAAGTTTCTCTGGGAGCCCAAATAGAGATGTTTTTCTTTCCTTCCTTCTAATCTTTTTTTCTTTTTTTTTTTTTAAGCAAAGGTGACCAGCAGACTAAAATCTTCTGTACTAGTCAGCTTTGCTAAAGGATGCATGACTAAAAAATTAACAGCTCACTGTTTATTTATTGTTATTGGGGAGGTGCATGCATGTGAAGGTCAGAGGACAACTTGTTGGAGTCTGTTCTCTCCTTCTACCCTGGGGAGCCAGGGTTGGAACTCAGGTCATCAGGCTTGGTAGCCAAGTACCTTTACCTGAACCAACTTGCTTCTTTCTGTTTTTCTTTCTCCCTTCCTTCTCCTCCTCTTCCTCTTCTTCTGCTTCTTCCTTTTCTCTTTGACAGAATCAAACCCTCCATCTTCCTGCCCCAGACTTCTGAGTACTGGAATTACAAATGAGCACCACTGTACCTGGCCCACACAGAGGTCTCATGCGCACTTTGAATATCTTTTTAAAACTCTAATCACCAACCAGTGTGATGGTTTATATTGTCAACTTGGCAAGATCTAGAATCACTGAGGGAGCAAATCTCTAGGTGTGTCTACAAAGGACTTCTAGACCAGGTTAACTGAGGTGGAAAGACATTCCTTGGGCTGAGTCCTCATGAAATAGTCAGGGGAAAGAAAACCAGGCCCTATCATTCATCTCTCTGCTTCTTGGCTAAGGATGCACTGTATCTAGCTGCCTCAAGAGTTCTTGTTGCCCTGATTTCACTGCCATTAAATACTATGTAAACTGTGAACCAAAATAAGTCCTCTTTCCTTAAGTTGCTGTGTCGGATATTTTATCACAGCAGTGAGACAAGTAGCTAATACAACCAGTAACTCCAAAAGCTGTATGATTATTCTATCATCAAAGAATTTTACTTCTAGGCATGTATGCAACAGAAGCAAGTATCTGTGCTTACCAGGGCTTAAAACATGATCTTACCATTACTTAAATCACTGAAAACTAGAAACCAGTAGATTGTGTGGGATACTGCCACAATCTTAGTACTTAGGAGATGGAAGCAGAATTGCTGGCTTGAAATTAGTCTGGGCTGCCAGGTGGTGAAGGACCAATGCCTGACTCTGGTAATCACAGAGAATAGTAAAGATGGAGGAAATAGAGAGGTGGTTCCTTTGACTCTCCATGGGGTTCTTTTCCCGGGCTCCAAGTTTCCAGTCTCAAGCCCTTCCACCAGCCAGGGCTAGGCTTCCTGAACACACTTCATTCTTCAGCTGATGTTTCCTGCAGGCTCAGAACCTAATGCCTCCCTGTTATTCTCTTCTCCTTCCCGTTACTGATGGCAGTTCTACTTGGTGGTTGACACCGTGGTCCTGGGAGTTGCTGAAGTTGCAGCCACTTCTCAGCATCAGCCGTCAGGGGAAACTGGTACCCTGAGCCTTAAAGAATATCTCCTTTTTCTCAACAGGCTTCTCCTCCAAGTGCCTTTGAGAATTGTTTGTTTGTTTGGGACAGGTTTTCTCTGTGTAACTGTGGCTGTCCTGGAACTTGATCTGTAGACAGGTCTGGCCTTGAGCTCACAGAGATCCTTCTGGTTTTGCCTCCTGAGTGCTGGGATCAAAGACATGTACCACCATGCCCAGTCTTGGTTTTCTCTTCTTATATCCAGAAATTGTGTAGCAAAGAAATCACTTGAAAAAGATTCAGAGGCAGGCCTAGTGATGCATACCTGAAATCCAGCAATTGGGAGATGGAGTCAAGAGGACCAAGAGTTCAAGATCATCCTCAGCTACAAAATGGATTTTCTTTATTTTAGGACAGGATTCTGTAGCTCCCTATGCAGCCCAGGCTGGCCTCAAATTCTTTGACCTGTCCAAGGTACTAACTCATGGCACATCTAAACTTGAAACTCAGGCTCTGGCTAGCCCTCCTGCCTCTCCTCAAAAACAAACAATACTTTTTAGTCATTGTCTCACATTCAATGCCAAATAGACCCTCATAAATATTGGGGGATTTAAGCAGCCATGGGACAGCAATTCTGTTCAAATATGTCATTGCAACTCAGCTGGTTTGAAGTACGTACCTTTGTCAACAATGCCTGCAAGCCAAGCTTGGATTGGAGAATGCTAATTCCTAAGACTATCTGGGCCTTCCAAGGGCTGCATTCTTTGCTGGTATAATTCACTTTAGTTTCATTCATTCAGCAAATATTTGTGGAGGACTCCCTAACACTTTCCAAATGAGATCTCTACTCTGAAGGAGAAGGCATCTTGATATGGTGGTGGGAGGGTGCATTTTGGAGCAAGGACATTCATTTATTCATAAAAGGGGGGGTATTTGAAGAATGTCAAGCTCTATTTTTGTCCCTGGAGAATCAATCACTTGTCAGTGACTAACACTGACACAGGGCTGATAATATGTGCATAAAGAAACAGAATCATTTCAGAAATTGGTAAATTTGGAATGTTATACTCCTGGCATTAGTAGGGACAAGAATCATTTATATAGGGTAGGGCTCAGGAAGGGTTCTCTGAGAAGACAACATCTGGCCTGAGATAAGCAGGGAGCAATTATGTGAAGGTCTTGAGTTAAAAATAGGCTTAGGGGGAAACATGGATTTTGTGTGTGCAAGAGGAAGAAAGGGGCGCCTGCAACCATCAGAGTTTAAGAGCGAGGCAAGACCAGGGCACATGGAGCCTCTCTTATAGTCTGTGGTAAACAGCTTGGAAGCCAAGGAGTACTTTGACACAGGGAATGATGTGATTTGATTTATGTTTTAGAAATATGACTGTTAGGCAAGGAATGGGCTCTATGGGCACAAGTGTTAGAAGTAGGAGTTGTTAGTAGGTTAGTAAGAAATAAGGGGTTAGGACAGCACTCTACTGAACTAGGCAAGAGACAGTGATGGCCAGGATCGGGATAGTAGCTGAAGAGGTGGTGCCCGATACATTCTGGGGGAAGGACTGCTAATCTGTACTGATGGATGAGGGTGGACACAGGACCTAGAACTCCTGATCTTTCTGCTACCACCTCCCAAGTTTTAAGAATTACAGGTGTCCATCACTACAGCCAGCTCAAACCCTGGTCTCTGTTTACGTTTTCTTTATAGGATTTTATTTGATCCTCACACACACCAGGGAGGTTTTGACCCCATATTAATGACTGACAGCTCTGGGTTTTGCAGGGATGAAGTAA